GGAATATCGGATAACACCCATATACCACATAAGCAGCTATCATACATAGAGATATGGACATGGGTTGAAAAACTAAGACTCTATGAACATGATGGTCTAGGAGCATGTAGCTTGATGTGGCGCAGCACACGTAGACACAGGATACTCGTCTAGATTCATGTACATGTGTGACTTCCGAGTGAGTCGTCCGGAGGCGTACTCGAGTCCAACTGCAAGCGACTGAGACCCGAGGAGGCGTGGAAATTCCTCGGCTTCTCGTCGCTTGCCATGGGAGTGCAGGTGAAACTAAACACTGTTACGGACTGGTGGCAATAGCCGTAGTAGGTAGTAATGATGACAGTTATGCACAAAAACACGCAGCGAACACCAATGAGATTCCAATCGACTCTACTGCTGGCAGATGCAGGTGCGATCGCTGCCTTGTGCGAAGTTCGAGGCTTGCAGGGTGTAGACGACAGCAATCCTAGTACAGTTGCGCGCCCTCTTTGGGGCGAAAACCCTGCAGGCCAGGCAGCACGGCTTCCCGGCCTCTGTCCCTTTTGGGCTCAGGGTAGGGCATGTTGAGTAAACGGGACCCGGGTGGTGCTCATGAGGGAGGCTTCTTTCCGCATGCCAGTCCCCGCCTCGAAGTCACTCTGTGGCGTTTCAGGCTGCCGACGGGCAGAGTTGCTCGATCTGTTTGGAGCAGTTTGGCTCGCACCTGAGATGGATCCAGCATGCACGCATGCCGTGTGTCATTCAGCAACCCGCCCGCCCAGGCCCCGCAGACGCGCCTAGACTTCTTTCTTGTCAGCACGCCTTCCACACGGAGACCAATCGCTTGTCTTCGCATCGATTCCAGTTGCTTCCAGTCCTTCTTACATCGGTTATGGAAGCCTTATAATTCCGTGCTTCGGGTGCAGGAGTGTGCCTTGCTATGGCTCACAAGGGCTGCTATGTGCCCACATCTCAGAAGCTGCGAAGATCCGGGCCCATGAGCCTAAGCCACTCATGCGACTCCTGGTGACTGCAGAGGATTAGGGGGGCTTTCTGCTTGAAGTGGTGAGGCCCCAACTGTCGAGCACCAGTGGAGCCAGGACCTTTGCTTCATTTGCACACTTCTCTACGAGAGTCATCTGAAGAACATGACCCGGTTGCATGGAGCTGGTAGCTTTCGCAGCGCAACCTCATGCTTTCGTTCGGACTGTGCGGCAAGCAGCCAACGAAGAAGCTAGAACATAGGAATCGAGTCAGTTTTCTAAACCCTATAAGCTCTAAACCCTAGGCCCTAAGCCCTGAACCACCAAAGTGTCGGATTTGGCCGTTGGATGGAATTCAGGTTGGGGATTGAGGGAAACTGCAGCTTAGCGCTGTGTGGTAGCTTTTTTGCGGTGGCAGGTACACTATAGTAGACTAGAGTATATTGTCGTGTATGATGGTATATTGTAGTACACTGTGGCGATTTGGTTTTTTGGATGGTGTGGTGTAGTCTTCCTCATGGATCCTGCTGGGGTTTGATCACAGGAGGCCTCACGACATCACAGGACCTGTAAGTTAGAAGAGTTCTCAAAATGTCCTCACTGCTATTCTCATCTGGTTATCGTTTCCCTCTAACGAGCAGAGCACGACATCCGGCAGGGAATGGAGGACTCTGCTGCATGCTGTCTACTTCTGAGATTCATGCTGCTTTTGAGGTGTGCTGATGCTCCAGTCCGGCCCATGCAGCGGGAGGCACTGACTCTTTCGTTGGCTGTGCTTAGGCCGTACAGCCACAACAGACCTTCAGAGACCTGCTGAGACTTCCGAAGTGGAGCTATCACTATTAGGATTGAAGTTCCTCGAATTTCCACCGAGTTCAAGAGGCTGACGACTTCTCGGAAGTTATCAGCAACTTCTCCGAGGCAAGGTGTAGCAGTGTAGCAGATGGTTTCGGGCAGAACCAACGTGTGATATATATATATATATGTAGATGTTCATTCATGTTGTTATTTATTTACATGTGCGTGTAACATGGGCGCGTCTCCCTACAAATATGAGAAGCATATGCATAGGCACCTCTGGTTGACTGTCGTTCTCTGTCTCTTTCGTTTTTCTCCGATGCTTTCTCTCTCAATCGTTTCCTGCTAGGCATGACTGGGATCTACGATCTGCCGTTTCAGCCGGATGCACGCTATGGCCAGTTCTCTCAATGAAGTTGGCCGACCGAAATCATGTGAGTACTGGCCTCGGGGCCGAAAGCCAGGCTGTGTTTGCTGGTTTACTCTACTTCCTCAGCCGTTTCGATACTACGAACGAATGTCAAGCACAGCCTGGAACAGTTTTGCAGCCACATGCTTTTGAAGTGTGGATGGGTCGCCAGTTTAGAGGAGATTTACTGCCAGCAGTATGGTTGCGGGCTGCATGCGGACAGGGGCCGAGATGCCACCTTCTGACGCGCATGCTGTCTTGTTCCAAGCCCAGCCTCCTTTTTGAATGGTGCCCGTCGCTCTCCAGCTGCAGACACCGAAAAAGCGGTGATGGTCAACCCGGCTGACACAAGCTGGTCTGGGAAACTGCACTTCTGACCGGAAGCGCAATGTAAATTACAGATTGTCCTTTGAGTTGTCTTGATAGCGTTGCTCAAAGCTGGTACTGGTGGCAGCACGACAGGCAGCATGTGCTCTGTTCAGTTCGAGGGCCATACCCTCACAACCCTCCTAAATCACCTCATGTTCAGAGTCGCCCTTAATACTGTACCTACAGAGAAATCAGTATTATTATTACCAGTACCATTATTATATATAAGGTGTATATATATATATATGTATATATATATATACACCTATGCATATTGCTGTTGTTCCGGAGCTGGTTAGCACACTTGAGTCGACCACGTGCAGGGTCTGCTGCCCGACTAAGTGTTTACAGATTTACAGTCCTTCAAGGAACTTTGACGATCCTCACGGAATGCAGGGGGAGGGTTCGCCCACAGAGAGTTCAGCACCAGCATGTAAGTGAAAGAACATAAGTCTGTGCTGAAGACGACGCCTCTCTTTGCACAGCTGTGCTTTTGCAGGCCCAGACACGTTCTCTCCTGCATTTATTGGATTGGATAGGTCACCGCCGTCGACGAAATCCAGCTCCCTAGTTCGTGTGGCACACACTTAGACTACAGCTTTGCCAGCGGAGCATTGCGGACTGCGACTCTGCTGAGACTGCCGGTGAATGCCAATCTTCCACGATTCAATCCACGACCTGTGAGAAGCGGGATGTGGTCCACCTATCTGTCACAGATGACGTCGCTGTGTCCTGCCCGAAGCAGCTGCAACAAAGCGTGATTGCTTCCACGCAGGACTTTAATGTCGGGGATATTTGTACAGGCGCGCATGAGAAGCGCATCCCACTTTCAAGACGCCTTTCAAAGTGACAATACCAAAAAAGTTGCTGGAAATCTATTGGAGTTGCCAAGCATTGTTGCACTTAAGCATTGTTGCACTTACATCAGTTATCTATTTCTAACTCATATAGTCTGAGGATAGCACCACGAATCTTACCGAATTGATTCTATTTCTCCTTGTGAAACGATATCTAACGACCGCAAACTCAAAAAATAATTTTGTATTCGTCGTGTCTCTTTTAGTCTACGGTGGCGAGGGTGTTTGGCAAAATTAAGCCTTTGGGGGCGCGAGGAGGGCCTCTGTCTTGTTCTTTTTTTTGGGGATGGAGGGGCTTCGGCCTAGAGGTTGTGGATGGCCAAGAATACTTTCTTTTATAATGATTATTTTTAGGAAATAGATTTCGTGGTCATAGATTTCTTGAGGGTCAAATGAAACATACTTTTGTAGCCTACGATTACTTTGAATATATTATACGGCTTTTATATTACGAGCGTCCGGGAAATTTCTTTATAATTGCTCTGGTAATTTTTCTTGAAGAAATATTTGAATTGAACCATATTATTCTGAGATGTTTAGGCCGGGGGGAGGATAATAAGGAATAATTTGAATAAAATATATTTAATTTCTATATTTGATAAATAAATAAGATATTATATTCGAGAAAGAGGGGAATATATTCTCTCTCTCTGATTAAATATATAGAATAAATATTTTCTATATAAACTCTAATATATAAGAAAATTATGAATTAAAAAATTTCAAAAAATATTATAAAGAGAGAAAATTTTTTAAAAAATATAAATATATATTAATTTAAATATTTTGAAATAAAAATTATATAATTGCGATTATTTCTACAAAATTTTTTAATAAATTTAATGCGAGCAATAAATTATAAAATATTCGAATAATAAAATTTTAGAGATTAATGAGATTTTTTAGAAGGCATAATTATAAATAAATATTTTAAGAATAATTTATTTACGAAATATTAAAGAATTTTTTATTATAA